AAAAAAAAAAAAAAAAAAAAAGATATACAAGAAGCTGATAACAGTTGCTTCTGGGGAGAGGAACTGGGGCACAGGGTGGCCAGGGTGGAAGGGAGACTTACTGTTCATGGTATATCCTTTTGTATGTTTAAATATCCTACAATGTGCCTGATCACTTATTCAGCAAGAAAGAGATGGTGTCTGAATTGCGGACACCCTCACTGCTGTGCAGAGAATGGACTGGAGAGGGCAAGAGCAGAGACAGAGGGTCAGTTAGAAGGCTCTGGCAGTGGTCCTGTTGAGGGATGGTGGTGGCTTGACCTGTGGTGTTGGTAAATGGAGAGGAAGAGATGTGGATGGATTCACGATTTACTTTAGAGGCTCAGCCAGCTGGGCCTGGTGTAATTACTGCTGTATTCCACACTGACATTCCCTACACCCACAGTTTAAGAAAACTTTGTGCATTTGAGATGGGAACTGGGCTTACCTGACTCTACCTTGACTTCTCTGACATCTTTGTGGTGGGAAGGGTTCTTGGGCTCCTTCCAGGTGCTAAAAACCTCTGGATTCCAGACAGTGATGTATCACAATGTGGAGGACACAGTTATGGACATTCACCCCTTTCATAGACACATGCAACGGTTGCAAACAACTTTTAATGGCTACAAAAAACAAAAAGAAACAAAACAAAGTTACACTGAAGAAGCCCACTCATTTCTCAATCGAACTTTCTTTCTTTGCAGAGAGATGCCAAAGGCCAGTACCTGTTTGACCTTCTTTGCCACCACCTGAACCTACTTGAGAAAGACTATTTTGGTATCCGCTTTGTAGACCCAGATAAGCAGCGGGTAAGTCAATATTCAAAACACAAAAGGAGGACAGAGCTAGTCAGTAAGCCTGAGGTCTTGAACTGTCATTCATGTTCAAAGTCAAGCTTCAGGAATCAGGGACCAACCAGACCCTGCAGTTGGATGTCGTCTCTTCAAATCATAGCATTAGACCTGGAAGGCACCTTGGCTAGAGCTCACCTGGAGAAGCTTGTCGTTTTACAGTTGCTGAAATGGCAGGCTAGGAAGCTTGAGTGATTTGCACAAAGTTGGAGGCGGAGCAGCTGGGCTGGAGTTGTGGTCTCGGAGCCCAGGTCACAGGTGGGCCTCTCCTGCCCCCTTTCTAGTAAGCAGCTGAACCACATTGTACTGGTTAAGAAAGGCCTCACCAAAAGTGCCATACCAACCCAATTTAGACAGGACAGAGACAGAGCCAAACCAGCATGGGCCTTGCAGATCTTGCAGTTCTTGCTCTGCTCTACACAGCATAGGCAGCTCTGCAGACACAGGGCATTCTGACAGACAAGGGTTCTGATATTCCAGACAGATACAGGAACAAGTCCATTATCTCAGGCCCCTGCCTATTTCTCCACCTTCATCTCCCTGACCTGTCTTCTCCCTGCTGTGGTGCCACCAGACAGTAATATTTTTGCTCTCCAGATACATCCTACCTTCTTTCTTTGCAGAGCCTTCATCTATAGAGTTCCCCTGCCTAGAATCTTCTCCTTTTCCTCACCGCTCCACACTCCACACCCTTGTTCCAGCTAACTCCTTTTCACACTTAAGATCTTAGCTTAGACTTTCACTTCCTCTGGGAAGTCTTCCCTAACCCCACTCGGTATTAGGGATCCTCCTATGGGCCCCCATGTGCCCTCTGCTACCCTGTTATAGCACTTATTACAGCATTCTGTGATTACCTGTGTTCCCTGCAAAACTATAAGTTCCATGAGGGCCTGGACTTTACCTCATTCATCACTATCTCCCATGTAACTAAGACAGGCCTACAATGTAGTTGGGGTTCAATAAACGTTTTCTGAAGAAATGAATGCGTGAGTGAGTTAATGGCTTATAGTGTTGTATTTCTTAGGTCCATTTGCTTAGCCTCCCACCTGCAGTTTCTATAACTTCCCTTCATCTACCCTTTGCTCTTTGTGGAGATGTACTCTCTGGCATCCCCACTGAAGTGGAGAGGTAATGGTGGACTATTTTTTACAAATGGTGTTTCTTTGTTTGGTCTAAACTTTTATCCTTAAAAAGGAAGGCTGGCTGTGTGCAGTGGCTCATGCCTGTAATATTGGTACTTTGGGAGGCTAAGACAGGCAGATTGTTTCAGCCCATGAGTTCATGACCAGCCTGGGCAACATGGCAAAACCCTGTCTCCACTAAAAATACAAAAATTAGCTGGAAATGGTGGCGTGTGCCTGTAGTCCCAGCTACTTGGGAGGCTGAGACATGAGAATCACTTGAACCCAGGAGATGGAGGTTGCAGTGAGCTAAGATCACACCACTGCACTCTAGCCTGCGAGACAGAGCAAGACTCTGTCTTAAAAAATAAAATAAAATAACATAAAAGGAGGGCCAGTTACTCCAAGGTCTCTTCATCCCCTAGAGTAGTGGTATATGAAGAAAAAAAGTCAAATTGTATCCTGTTCATTGGTTTTTTAGTTAGGTCAGAATGTGCTTGAGGAGAGTAAGAGAATATGTGGATGTGGTCAAGGTTAAAATGAGAAGGAGCTAGAGAGAGATAAGAACATGGGAAAGAGGAGAAATAAACATTTATGGAGTTCCTACTGCTTGCCAGGCTCTGCACTGCACACAAACCTAGTTCTTCCAGCTAATGTATACTGCTCACTGAGTTGTGCCAGGCACTAAGCTAAGAGCTTCACGTATGTTATTCCATCTCATCCTTGACGAAATGAGATGAGTATCCCTAATGATAATATCTGTTCTCCAGATGAGTAAATAAAATCTCAGATAAGTTAAGTAACTTCCCCAAGGTAAGTGGCAAAGCCAGCCTCAAGCTCAGACCTGTTTGACTCCAGGGACAATGTGGTTTCTGAGATTCCATGCTGAATGTATAACTGATAGCCTCTGAAAGTTGTGTAATTCTGTGCCTTGTGGGAGGGGTTAAGGAGAGCAGAGAGACTTGAGAGAGTATCTGAGGGTTTGTAGGGAAATGGGGACCTGTAAAGAGTTGTCCTTAGTCCACTGATTCATGGTAGGATGGAGGAGCTGAGCTCCCCTGCTCCCTCAGGGTGTAAGGGCCTAAAATAAACCTCCTTCCCTGGGTCTCGAGACAGTCCGAACCCAGCACTCACATCCATCCCCATGTCACTGCTTGCTCTGCAGGAGCCTCCATGCATCTGGAAGCTCTCCTGGTCTCTCCTGGAGGAGCTGTCCTCACTCTCCTTCCCCAGGATTCCTGACTCAGGCCCAGGGCCTCCACCTTCTCTTGGCCTCTGCTTTGTACCCTTTCAAGTCCCTAGAGTCTGAAGATTGTACCACACTGGCCCATTCACTCAAATAGAGGAGGAAACCCTCCTCTCTGAATCTTCTTTTCCTCTTCTTTTAATCCCTCCTCCCTAAGCCCGTGTTGTCTGTTTGCTAGTGAATCTGGGACTGATTTGGTCAGGCATTTACAAAAAGCCACTCTAGCCATCACCATATTCTTGGGTTCCTCTCAAGATTTCTCTGCCAGACTCCAAATCGTATGGATCGACTGTGACAGCTCTCCAGTCCCTTCTCACCCCTTGCTACTCTCTTCCAGCCTCAGTCCTTTCTTGAGCTCTCACTACAGTAAAACTAAAATCTTCTTTCCAGCTATTGCCAAGGGGAATAGCCTTTTGTCATTCAGCTTTCTCTGCCCTCTGCTGATAATGCATCTCACAGTCATTAATTTCTACCTTCCTTTGTTTATTTCTTTTAATCTATCAGTCTAATGTCTAGAAGTGTTGGTGTTCTGTGTACTGAGTCCCTGGCACTGACTATGTTCTCCTAACTGTCCACAACCCCAGTGTGCTCTGAACAGATAGGCCTTCTCCCTCTTCACAGGCATACCCTGGAACCCCAGTTGTTTCTGAGCAATTTCATCTCTTGCCTTTGCCTCCCTGTGAAGCTGAGCCGTGGTGGGCCGTGTAATGTGAGAAGGACCTCTTAACCACATTGAGTGGCTATAATGAGTTGCCAGCCTCATGGGAACTCAGATCAGCAGAAGCAGGAGAGCAGAATGTCAGCCCAGATTATCCGTGTGGAGCTGACGGAAGAACTGGCTCTTAGTGGGTCCATTAACTGCATGACCCATGGCCCAGCCCAGAAGGTGATCACTGGGAATTAAGGGAGGCCAGGATGCTGACTGCAGGGCCCTGGCTGCTCTCCTGCCAGAGGGAGGACTCTGCCAAGACATTACACTAAATGGAAGTAGCCAGAAAAGAAGGAAGTATGGGCCCAGTCCCTTTGCCATTCAGCAGCTACCTATTGAACACTGTGCTAGGCACTGGTGATACAGTTGTAAACAAGACGGACAGTTCTGGGCCTTCATGGAGCTTACATCTGGCAATGTTAAGTTACCTCTGGATAATCAAACCCCAATTAATAGCAGTCCTACCTAATCCTGATTAGCAAAAAGCAACAAACATCAATAATAAATTTTATAAAGGACCCATGTAGAATTAAGAAACACATATAGAATGGTTTCATTGCTTCCCCCAAACATTTAAGTACCATGGGAAAATGTATTTTGCCTCTACGTCCTGCCTCCTTGAAAATCCAAGGGGAAAGGGTACTATCCTACACGTTGGTTGTGGTTAGTTATCATTTGAGATTTAGATTTTAAAACATTGCTGGATGCCAAGGAATCTTGAGTATGTGTTTTCTAACACTAAGGGTTGGCAATTTATGTTACTCAAAGAAAGATGGAATATATACCAGCCATCCCTGACTTAGGAAATTTCCACTTATCGCTGCTTTCTAGAGTTGCTACCAATATCTTCTATCCCCACTCTGCTGCCAAAAAAAGAGAAAAAAAGCTGGTGCATAACACACACACACACCACCCATTAAAGTCAGTATTTCCCAACTCAACCCAGGTGGGGCTCTGTCCCCGCCACACATACATGCAGTTGCTTGTGCCTAATCGCATGCCAAAAACATGGCTGAGAACTTTGGCACCCTGCTTTAGAAGACAGCATTTCCAGGGAAGCCCAGAAATGGCATCTGAAGCTGGAACTATTCCCCCCTTCACAGCTGGCTTCGTGGGAGCTCATTTCAGAAAATCATATCACTCTTTACTCTCCAAACTTATCTCTCCAAGCTTTTGGGCTGCTTTCACCCTAGGCTACAATCTGTCTAGTTTTTTAAGTTGGAGAAAACAAGTTATATTTTACAGCCCTTCTCATTAGGGTTTTCATGTTCTGTGTTCTCTGTTTCAGCATTGGCTGGAATTTACAAAGTCTGTGGTGAAGCAATTGAGATGTAAGTATTCTCCATGAAAAGACTCAAGCCACACCCCTGGGGAGGGTGGCATGAAACCTCCCACTTGCCGCAAGTTTTGGTCTACGTATATAATTTCCCACTGTTCTCAGTATAAGTTGGCCGTAAATATATGAGGGTTCTCTTCTGATGCTTCATGCTAGTGGGCAGTACAGCCCTGTCCTCTTCTGGGTGAGGGTCTTCCCTGATGGGCACCTCTTTTTCTCTGCAGCCCAGCCTCCTTTCACCATGTGCTTCCGTGTGAAGTTTTATCCTGCAGACCCTGCTGCTCTGAAAGAAGAAATAACCAGGTGAGGTGAACATGCTTCCCGCAGCCATTAGGACCTTTTGGAGAGCATAGGAAAGGGGGATGGTGACCTCTTAGAGCCTCTCGTTTGGAAGCGCCTAACTCTTAGAGGCAAGGAACTCTTCCTAAATATAATGACTTCTGTATTTCATTTCCACATGCTTTCTTTGTGTACCCCTCAGTGCAGTTGGAACAGAGCAGACTTCTTTCCTTCAGGAAGTGTGAAGACTACATCTTGAACTGGTCACTCTCAAAGGGATCTGCAGTAACTAATCAGAAGCATCTTTTCTTTTACCTATCATGAGGCCACTGTGGACATTTTTGGAGAGAGCTATGTTGCTGCTTATTTTGGGGGTTGAAAACAGTTTCAGGTGGTCTAATGGATATACTTGGAAAATGCTAAGGCATCACACCGAAAGATAAGCTAGGAGATACTGAAGATTTTAAATCAAAATGGGTAAACTCTGGTGTGCCATTGGATCAGGTTCATGATCAGCTCTTTACTGTGGGAATCATGTTCTGTGGCAGGCAGACAGCTGCGTGGAATGCATCCTATCTATCCAGCACCACTTGAGGATGAGAAAGAATCTCTCTGCCTATAGCCATCCTAAACGAGGGTCAGTGAGTGAGAGCTTCAAAGCTTCCCCAGGATTTTGTGTATCTGAGCCAAATTTACTCTGAAAGCCTCACCTCAGAGATTCAAGAACTCTACAACAGGGATCCCTAATTTTTATATTAGAAAGACCTAATTTCGACATAAACAAAACCTTGATGTTACTTTGTAGAAGGCAGGACCATAGGTGAGGATGTGATGCCAGGGAATCCTAGAGCTGAGGAAGAGACAGCACTGTCAGCCCTAACCCCTTCCCTAAGACCTTGGAGACAGCAAACGTGGGAATGAGGATATTGCCAGCCATATAGACCATTTATCCTATAAGGCTTTGAGATCCACTCCTAGATCCTGAACTGCTTGGGAAAATTCCAAAAACAGAAAAGGAGGAGGAAGAAGGAGGAAAGAATATGGAATTCTTTTCTTTTCTTTTTTTTTTTTTTTTTGAGACAGAGTTTCACTCTTGTTGCCCAGGCTGGGTACAGTGGTGTGATCTCGGCTCACTGCAACGTCTGCCTTCTGGTTTCAAGCGATTCTCCTGCCTCAGCCTCCTGAGTAACTGGGATTACAGGTGCCTGCCACCTGTTATTTTTTTTGTATTTTTAATAGAGATGGGGTTTCACCATGTTGGCCAGGCTGGCCTCGAACTCCTGACCTCGTGACCTGCCCGCCTCGGCCTCCCAAAGTGCTGGGATTACAGGCGTGAGCCACTGTGCCCGGCCAGAATTATTTTCATTTCCCGATCTAAAGCGCAGGCCAGGTGAAAGGAGCAAAAGTTTCTCTAAGAGGGGAAATCAGGAAATGGGGAGAGGAGCGGGCAAAAGCAGGAATTAGTAGTGCAAAGGCTACAAGGAAGTGGGACGGGGAGAAAAGTGGCTTCTTCATGGGCCCTTCACATGGGAGTTGAGGGAAATCTTCTGATGGAGTCAGAAGGATCAGGAAGGCTTGTTCCTGCAGATGCATAGGGCAGTGTGCACCCACCTATTCTGAAGCGCTGAAGACAGTGAGTATAGCTAGAACCAAATCTCATGTCTCTTACGAGGCATAGAAGCTCCAGGCTCTGCTCATCTACATGGAAGTAGAGGTGGCTCTTGCTTTGCTTCAGAAAACCAAATCTATCCAAATCATAGACACCCTACCTAAGGCTTTAGGTAGGTAAGGGTAGAACCACTATGTTTAAAATTTCAGGCCAGGCGTGGTGGCTCACGCCTGTAATCCCAGAACTTTGGGAGGCCGAGGCGGGTGGATCACCTGAGGTCAGGAGTTCGAGACCAGTCTCGCCAACTTGGTGAAGCCCATCTCTACTAAAAATACAAAAATTAGCTGGGCGTGGTGGCGGGCGCCTGTAATCCCAGCTACTTGAGAGGCTGAGGCAGGAGAATCACTTGAACCTATGAGGCGGAGGTTGCAGTGAGCCAAGATCATGGCACTGCACTCCAGCCTGGGCAACAAGGGTGAAACTCCGTCTCAAAAAAAAAAAAAAAAAAATACAATTTTCTAAATCCAGTGTCACTATCTTATATGAATGGACAGACCTTCCTACCTAAGAAGCAGCATAGACTTGGGAGCTCAGATCTTACTTATGTCACTTGTTCGCTGTATAGCCTTGGAAATAAGATGCTTAACCTCTCTGACCTTAGATTACTCATTTATAAAATGGGGATAATAATATCTACCTCATAGAATTGTTGGGAGGATTAACCACTATCCCGGCCTCTTATACTTCTTAATACACCCACAGTGAGCCTTACACTGAGCAAAGGCTCAATATTTCGTTGCCAGATTCATTACACAGTCCATAGGCCCAGGGGCTCTGCATCATGCACAAGTACAGTTAGTACTGGCTTTTCTCCCTTGTTTATGTGAAAGGCACTTCTTTTCTAACAATCTCCACTTCTCCTCTGTCCCCTTTCCCCACGAGCTAGAATCCTAAAACTTAAGCAGCTAATTTCTGAGTCCTGAAAGAGAAAGCTATCCCAGGTAATCATCCAAGTCCTGGTAAGCACAGCATTAGGACCATGGCCAGGCCTCTCACCAAGTCAGCAGACTTCAAGGACACTGGCAAGATAATGAGCTCCTCTCCATCTGCATGCATGTGTGCTATCCATCTTGGGCAATTTTCCCCTCTCTCTCAACCTCAGCAGCGTTCTTTACCTAGTATGCAATTTTCCAGCATTGTCAGGAGTGTGAACCACAGGTGCCTGGGCCTGATTTGCAGTCTTTGTGCCTCTCCCTCCCTGGGGCATTCTGTGAGGCTGTGGAATTAGCTGCATTTTTCTCCTCATTCACATCCTAACTAATCTTAAGAGAGTAGATACTGGCCCCAGCCTCACTCAACACCCGTAATTCATCCCTGGCTTACAGCCCTCCATCCCACCTTACTGCCAAACTAATTTAGCTGTCAGTGTGTTTTTTCCAGGCAATATAGGTCCTAAATTTCACTGCCGTCTCAGCCATTCCCATAAAGCCAGGCTGAGAGAAGGGGATGAAGTAGGAAGTACAGAATTTGCTTCAATTTATCTCTTGGCTTCTTCCCAGATGATAAATTTAGTTGCCAAATCCTGATTAATTTCTTTTGTCATTTTTAAAGCAATAGACAGATTTTCTTGTCTAGGCTAGAGACAAGGCAAAGAAAATGGGAAATCAGGTAACAGATTTGGCTTTTAACAGGGATTGCAGGTGTATGAACTCTTTGGAAAGATCAAGTAAGAGAACAAACTGACTACAAATGGGACCCCACTGTCCAAGGACGCAAAATGTCTGACACGCAACAGGTGCTCCAAAAAATGTTAATAGAATGAATAAATACATACATGAATGAATGGAGTCATCAGGTCACTTATTCCTTCAATGAACATCATTTGAGCCTAGCTTAGGCTAAGATGGATTGGCAAACTTTTTCTGTAAAGGGCCAAATAGTAAGTATTTTTGGCTTGTCGGGCCATATGGTCTCTGTCGCAACTACTCAATTCTGTCATTGTAGTGTGAAAGCAGCCATAGACGATACATAAATGAATGAGCAAGGCTGTGTTCCAGTAAATTTTATTTCATTGGAAACTATGACAGCAGGCTGTAGTTTGCCAACCCCTGGGCTAAAAAATCAGAAAGAGCTGGCTTCAAATCCTAGGTTGTTCTTTAACTAGCTCTGTGACAAGGCAAGCAGCAGTATCTCTAAGCACTCAGTCTCCTCATCCATTAAACAGGGATTAAAATGGTAGTCACCAGCCAGACGTAGTGGCTCACACCTGTAATCCCAGCACTTTGGGAGGCCGAGGTGGGCAGATCACCTGAGATCAGGAGTTCAAGACCAGCCTGGCCAAAATGGTGGAACCCTGTCTCTACTAAAACCAAAAAAAAATTGGCCGGGCGTGGTGGCACGTGCCTGTAATCCCTGCTACTTAGGAGGCTGAAGCAGGAGAATCACTTGAACCCAGGAGGTGAAGGTTGCGGTGAGCCGAGATCGCACCACTGTATTCCAGCTTGGCAACAAAGCAAGATTCCGTCTCAAAAAAAAAAAAGGTAATCACCTCATAGAGTTGCTGGGAGGACTGAATGAAAGAGGGCATGTGAAACAGGGCACACAGCATGCACTCAGTAAATGTGAGTCTTTATTGTTATTTTGTTGTGTTATTATTTTGTCATCTCCCCCATTGAAATGTAAGCTCCATTAACAGGACTCTGGGTTGTTCCCTACTGCATTCCCAGCACCTGTGACAGTGCCTGGCACATATAGTAAGTGTCAGATGGATGGATGATGGACAGATGGATGGATGGATGGACGGATGGATAAGCTAGGCACAGGATGTTTAGGCTCTCTCGAAGAATATTAAAAGTAAATACAACATAGTCTCTGACTTCAAGGAGCTCATAGTCTAATATGGGGGAGGAAGACGTACTAAAACCTGACTATAATTATAGTCAGGAAAAAGGAAACAGTAAATAGAGGAAGCTATTTGAAGGAAAGAATCCCTTTGAAAAAGAATCTATTTGAAGGGAAGGTGAGGCCAAAGATCTTCTGGAAAAAACTCTCCAGGAGCCTCCAGTGCTTTCCACAGTTCACAGCCTTAAACTCTGGAAATGCCTGTGGGCTCATCCCCACCCTGGGAGATCAGACAGCCTTACGCCAAAGCCAACACCCTGGAGAGATGTTCGCGTTACACAAAAGCTCAGGTTTTCCCTGGCATCTTGCAGGCTTTTGCTCATTCTGTCCTGATTCACACTCCAATCAATTTAGGACAACACTAGCATTCAAACAAAAATGGAGGTGAGGTAAAGCCTCTCTGAGGCCAGGAAGAGATCAGCAGAGTTTAAAAACCAAAAACCCAGTTTCCTCAGAAGCAAGCTTGTTCTCCTAAATCTGGTCTAGAACTGATTTCTCCCTTGGTCCCAGTAAGAATTTCTCTCTGATGACAAAGGGTTCTCCTGACTTGGATGAGGACTAATCTGATAACTGAGTGAATTACCATGGGGCTAGAAAAGGCACTGGGCTGAGGCAGAAGGCCTGGATTCTGATTGCTGTGTTACCTCAAATAAGTCACTCTCCATCTCTAGACTTCATTTCCTTGGCTATGAAATGTTCTGAGGTTCAGAGATTCAGGAGGGCTGCACTGGGCAGCTCCAGCAGGCTGATCCCTTGCCTGGCAACACACAGTGGTCCTGGAGATAGTGCCTCAGGCAACAAGACAGTGTTCCTTAGGCCCTTGTGTGGCCGGGGAGAAGATACCAGGGTCTCTTGTGAATGGGTCTAAGGATGCTATGAGTCATGTGGAATATATTTCCACCAACAACACTGAGTCACTGGTTATCTCCTTAAATGAACCAAACACAAAGCTTGATGGAAGCCACTGTGGCAGAAAGGGGAGGGGGAGCCCCGGTGCAGCTCACTCGCTCTCTTGAAGCTGTCAGTTGATTCTTTCATGAGCTCATCTCCTCTTGTCCTCAACTATGGTTTGTTTCTTAAGGATACTGGTGTACCCTTTTCCCTCTTCCCATCTAGTTCTATGACATTGTCTGAGAATGCCCCGTGGCCTTGCCTTTAACCTCCCTGCAGCTGTTTTTATCACCAGAAATCAAAAGGAACCCGGCCCAGCAGTGGAAAGCCTTGTGTCCATTCCAGTTCACCTGAGGCCATTACCTGCCATCGATAATGATGCCTTGGAAAGACAGTGGTTCTCACTGTGAGCAGGATCATGTTCCTTTGGGTGGGAGGAGAAGGGGAGCAAATCAGAAACTTTAAACAGGACTTTTTCTTTCCTTTTTTTTTTTTTATTTGAGATGGAGTTTTGCTCTTGTCGCCCAGGCTGGAGTGCAGTGGTGCGATTTTGGCTCACTGCCACCTCTGCCTCCCGGGTTCAAGTGATTCTACAGCCTCAGCCTCTCCCAAGTAATTGGGATTACAGGCCTACACCACCATGCCTGGCTAATTTTTTTTTTTTTTTTTTTTTTTTTAGTAGAGATAGGGTTTCACCATGTTGGCCACGGTGGTCTCGAATTCCTGACCTCAGGTGATCCACCCACCTCGACCTCCCAAAGTGCTGGGATTACAGGTGTGAGCCACCGCGCCCAGCCCAAAGGGGTCTTTTCAAACCACAGGAGCACCCCCGACACATATGGATTCTGACGGGCTCCCCCTGGAAGATGTTCCCCTCTCTGCCACGTTGAGAATCACTGCCCAGAGCCATATTATCCATATTATCCCTTTGCAATATCTCCTTTAGTCCAATATGTACAGTCCCTGAATTTTGGACACAGACAAGCAGAGAAACATGGAAGACATGATGCATGAATCCAGGTCCAGGGAGTGATCAGTAAGGGGCAAAAGGTTTGCATCTACATCCTGCTGAAGCCTGTGAAAGGTGGGAGTTGGAACAGTGAGAGGCAGAGAAGTGCTCACTCACTGTCTCCCACACACCGTGTGGCATTTCACTGTGGGAAGCAGAGTGAAGACGAGCTTGATTTGGTAGATCCATCTTAATTTTTCACTCTACATGTCTTTTTTCCTGGCAAACATTTGGGCAGAGTAGGGTTGATGGGAGTGAGAGGATGGGTTCTTATTAACTTCCAGACTAAGACTCACCTTCCCTTTGGTCTGAGGAAGGCAGTCCATCCTGCTGTGGTTAGAAGGTTGCTTTTGAATTTTCTTAGGACAGCTTCTGAAATTTTAATCTATACACAAATCACCTGGGGATCTTGTTAAAAGGTGTAGGTGTAAGTGTAGGATGGGCCTATATTCTTCATCTCCAATAAGCTCTCAAGTGATGCTGATACCCCTGATATGTGGGCTACACTTTGAGTAGTAAGCCCTGAAGAGAGAAGAAGGCTTGGTTGCTCCCTCATTTCTGTTAACTGCATGAATCTCCAAGCCTGAGCCTCTCAGAGTTACCTGCTAGGACCCCTTCCTACCACCTCCCGGAAGTTGCACCATCAACAGCCCTCTTCCTCTTGAGCATTTTTACATGGTCAAGTGGACACGGAATCCTCTATTTTATTCTTCAGCCTGAAAACAGAAACAATGGAAACCTCCAATTATCCAGGGAGGGGTCAATTTCTTTTTGGTTCAGACTGTTAGAATTTAAAGGAATTTTACTACATTTTCATTACTCCCCTAGGGATGCTGCATCATAAAAGTTGACTTAAAATAGCAAGCATTTAAGTGTCTCAGAGTATTGTCTGTGGGTCAGGAATTCAAGAGCAGCTTAGCTGGGTGGTTCTGGCTCAGGGTCAGTCACGAGGTTACAGTCAGGAGGTTGGCTGGGGCTACAGTGATCCACAGGCTTGACTGGAGCTGGGGACTTCATTTCCACGATGGGGCACTCAAATGGCTGTTGGCCGAAAGCCTCAGTTCCTTGCTGGCTGTTGGCAAAGGCCCCAGTTCCTCACCACATGGACCTTTCTATAGGAATGCTGAAGCAACCTCAAGAAGAACGAGTGATCCAAGGGCAAGAGAACAAGGAGGAAGCTGCAATGACTTTATGACCTTAGAAGTCAGACACTCACTCATGCTTTATTCTGTTGATAGAAGTGAGTCACCAAGTCTAAGCCACACTCAAAGAGAAGGAATTAAGCTCTACCTCATGAAATTAGGATTATCAAAGAATCTGTGGAAATATTTTTAAATCACCAGAAATGCTCCCTGGCCAAGGAACCACCATGGTAGGTGACCCACTCAAGGGATTGATGCTCCTAATAATCTTACAGGTCTTCTAAGAAGAGCAATGAAGACCACACTCCTTGTGAAGACATTTCAAAATGGAAAGTCATCAATTCCATTTCACTGTGACAGGGTCCATCCAACTAGTGAAACTGCAAAGCATTTATAGTGCAAGTGAGAGGTGACAATGTGCTAGCAGCCCTCACAGCGCCTCCTCGGCCTCAGCGTCCACTCTGGCGGCACTTGACAAGCCCTTCAGCCTGCCACGGCACTGTGGGAGCCCCTCTCTGGGCTGGCTGAGGCCGGAGCCGCCTCCCTCTGCTTGCGGGGAGGTGTGGAGGCAGAGGAGCGGGCAGGAACCGGGGCTGCACGCGGTGCTCCTGGGCCATTGCGAGTTCCGGCGGGCACGGGCTCCAGCGCAGCGGGCCCCACACAAGGAGTGGCCGGCCAACACTGCCGGCCTAGGGCAGTGAGGGGCTTAGCACCCGGGCCAGCAGCTGCGGAGGTTGGGCCAGGTCCCCCAGCAGTGCTGGCCCACTGGCGCTGCACTGAAATTCTTAGCTGCCTACCCACGGGGCAGGGCTGGGGACCTGCAGCCGGCCATGTCCCAGCTCCCCCACTGCCGTGGGCTCCTGAGCGGACCAAGCCTCCCCGACAAGCACCACCCCCTGCTCCGTGGTGCCCGGTCCCATCAACAGCCCAAGAGGTGAGGAGTGCAAGTGCAGCTTGGGACTGGCGGGTAGCTCCGCCTGCAGCCCGGGTGCAGGATCCACTAGGTGAAGCCAGCTGGGCTCCTGAGCACATGGGGACTTGGAGAACTTTTATATCTAGCCAGAGGATTGTATGTGCACCAATCAGCACTCTGTATCTAGCTAATCTGGTGGGGACTTGGAGAACTTCTATGTCTAGCTAGAGGATCGTAAATACACCAATTAGCACTCTGTCTAGCTTAGGGTTTGTAAATACACCAATCAATACTCTGTGTCTAGCTAACCTAGTGGGGACTTGGAGAACTTTTCCCTCTAGCAGTCTGTCTAGCTCAAGGATTGTAAACGCACCAATCAGCACACTGTCAAAACGGACCAATCAGCTCTCTGTAAAATAGATCAATCAGCTCCTGTAAAATGGACCAATCAGCAGGATGTGGGTGGGGTCAGATAAGGGAATAAAAGCAGGCTGCCCCAGCCCGCGGCGGCAACTGGCTCGGTCCCCTTCCACACTGGGGGAGCTTTGTTCTTTCGCTCTTTGCACTAAATCTTGCTGCTGCTCACTCTTTGGGTCCATGCTGCCTTTATGAGTAGTAACACTCACCACGAAGGTCTGCAGCTTCACTCCTGAAGCCACCGAGACCACCAACCCATCAGAAGGAAGAAGCTCCAGACACATCTGAAGGTCTGAAGGAACAAACTGAGGACAGACCATCTTTAAGAACTGTAACGCTCACCGTGAGAGTCCGCGGATTCATTCTTGAAGTCAGCGAGACCAAGAACCCACCAATTCCGGACACACAAGGAGGGCAGAATATCATAGTGATGAAGAGCCAAGTTCAGGGGTCTCACAGTGCTGAAGTTGAATCCTGGCTCTTCCACTTAGTTGTATATCCATGAGAAAATCACTAAAGCCTCAGCTTCTCTATCTGGAATAATGGGGATAATATACCTATCTCAAAGTGTTATGTGAGCATTAAATAAGATATTGCATGTAAAGTGTGTAACACCCAGACTGGCAGATCGTAAGCCCTCAATACATGTCAGCTACTGTTTGCTCTTGTTTTTGATATCCTGCTTCCACCTGAGGCAACAGCTTTCTGTATTTAAAGAGGTGCTGGTCCCAGGTTTCTGCTTCATTTGTATGCTTCCTTCACCAGTGCCCCTTGTTGCATCTTTTTTGAGACCGGGTCTCTCCAATTGCTCAAGCTAGAGTGCAGTGGCACAATCTTGGCTCAGTCTTTTTTTTTTTTTTACTGTTTTGTTTTGTTTTGTTTTTTGAGACAATCTCACTCTGTCCTCCAGGCTGGAGTGCAGTGGTGCGATCTCGGCTCACTGCAAGCTCCACCTTCTGGGTTCAGGCCATTCTCCTGCCTCAGCCTCCCCAGTAGCTGGGACTATAGGCACCTGCCACCACGCCCGGCTAATTTTTTATATATTTTAGTAGAGACTGGGTTTCACTGGTTAGCCAGGACGGCCTTGATCTCCTGACCTCGTGATCTGCCCGCCTCGGCCTCCCAAGGTGCTGGGATTACAGGCGTGACCCACAGCGCCTGGCCGACTTAGTCGTCTTACACTTTATTCCATTTCAAAGGTCTGGTTGACCTTGGTAACTGCAGGCTGTTTCCACATATGGACAGATTCTCTTGGCAAGTTGAGACTGAACTCTTCCTGGGCTAGTTCCTTCACCAGCCATTCTACTTAAGAAGGAACATCAGCCAGCATCCAAGGCAGAGAAGGGCCCAGTTTGCCAGTCTCTGATGGCATAGTTTTCTTTTTCGGCACCGGACCAACTGGGGCTGGCTCCTTCCAAAGCCCAGCACTTGGGGGGTGATGGTTTTACCAGGAAACAGCCATTTCTGTTTTGAGCTACAGGAGGTAACTGACATATTTTGAACTGAATCTCAAGTCAGTTTAGGGCAAAGTACTTGAAGGAGTTTCCAGGGAAATGGAGAATGTATTTGTTCTACAATATGTTTTAAGATTTTTTTTTAATGTAGTAAAAGTATTCTGACAAAGATTTTGATAGGCTTACATCACGTATTTTTATCTTTAAAGCAATCAAAGAAATCTTTTTATAGTTCATTCTCTGTTTTCTCTCCAGGTATTTAGTCTTCCTCCAGATCAAAAGGGATCTCTACCACGGCCGACTCCTCTGTAAAACATCAGATGCTGCCTTGTTAGCAGCTTACATCCTTCAAGGTAATGACTTTTGACAGGATAATTTTGCTTTTCATGCCAAGTACTGATTACATTATTTTCAGTTACCACTGATGACTCCTTCTTGAATCTAAACAGTATCTAGGCCAGGTGCTATGGCTCACGCTTGTAATCGTAGCACTTTGGGAGGCTGAGGTGGGCAGATCACCTGAGGTTAGGAGTTCGAGACCAGCCTGGCCAACATGGTGAAACCCCGTCTCTACTAAAAATACAAAAGTTAGCCAGTGTGGTGGCACACACCTGTAGTCCCAGCTACTTGGGAGGCCGAGGTGCAAGAATTGCTTGAACCCAGGAGGTGGCGGTTGCAGTGAGCCGAGATCACACCACTGCACTCCAGCCTGCGCAACAGACCAAGACTCAATCTCCAAATAAATAAATACATAAACAAACAAACATCTAACTTGAAACAGAGTTCAAGTTAGAGGGGTTTTTTGTTGTTGTTTTTTGTTTTGTTTTGTTTTGTTTTTTGAGACAGAGTCTCGCTGTGTCGCCTAGTCTGGAGTGCAGAGGTTCGATCTCCGCTCACTGCAACCTCCACCCCCCAGGTTCAAGCTGTTCTCCTGTCTCAGCCTCCTGAGTAGCTGGGACTACAGGTGCATGCCACCATGCCTGGCTAATTGTTTTTTTGTTTTTAGTAGAAACGGAGTATCACCATGTTGGCCTGGTCTCGAACCCCTGACCTCAGGTGATCCACCTGCCTAAGCCTCCTGAAGTGCTGGTATTACAGGTGTGAGCTGCCACACCCAGTCAAGTTAGAGGATTTTGCTTGGATTTCCTAGAGCCAGAAAACACTGAACGCTCAACCCTAAAGTGTGCCTAAGATCTTACTACCAGTCCCTTAAAGTCATTCTGACTCTGTTTTAGGGATTTGCCTTGGGCCCCTGGTTGAGAAAGTCCCTGAGACTCTAGAGCGTAATTAGGCTTGATTTTTTGTCCCATCCTCTCAGGCAAATCTCCAAGATAAGAAACATCTTAGAATTCTAGTATCTATTTCAGAAACCTTTTAGTTCAGTGTGCTCAAAGTTGAAAGTGTTTCCAAGTAACAAGCACATTTCCTAACAGGCTAATAAGTAAGAGTTGAGGCTTACCCAGCTGATGCCCAGATTGGCTTTTTTTGCAAAACAGTAGGAGACATACACACTCTTCACACATATGCCCTTCTGAGATGCAGAGACACTTAAGTGCCACTTCCTAGATTTCTCTTAGACCCTAGGCCTGAAACTGCCATTACTACTGGATCACTTTGGACCATAGCACTAAAATGATGAAGTTTCCCCCAAAGAATCTGAACTCTTAATTGGAAATCCCAGAAGCAACTTTGTGAAGAGAACTTGGAAAGTGCTTGCCAATAAGCAACTAAAGTCCTTCTGGCACTGGAAATATCACGGCTGGTTGCCTGTGCTAAGAATGTAAAATTTATCCCAGCACTTTGGGAGGCCAAGACGGGAGGATCATGAGGTCAGGAGATCGAGACCATCCTGGTTAACACGGTGAAACCCCGTCTCTACTAAAAAATACAAAAAACTAGCCGGGCGTGGTGGCGGCGCCTGTGGTCCCAGCTACTCGGGAGGCTGAGGCAGGAGAATGGCGGGAACCCGGGAGGCGGAGCTTGCAGTGAGCTGAGGTCACGCCACTGCACTCCAGCCTGGGCGACAGAGCGAGACTCCGTCTCAAAAAAAAAAAAAAATGTAAAATTTAGCCCATTGCCACTTTGACTTCTGAGACTCCTGTTTTTAAAATCATCTACATGGGGAATCCAGCAGGTACTTAATAATCTTAAGATACCCAAAGATGCCCCTTTGAGATATATATATATATTTTTTGACAGGATCTGGCTCTGTCCCCTAGGCCAGAGTGCAGTGGCGTAATCTTGGCTTACCTCCACCTCCTGGGCTCAAGTGATCCTCCCACCTCAACCTCCCAAGTAGCTGGAACCACAAGTGTGCACCATCACACTCAACTAAATTTTTTATTTTTTTGTAGAGATAGGGTTTCGCCACATTGCCCAGGCTGATCTCAAACTCCTGAATGCCCCTTTTGTTTTTAAAGAGAAAGCCTAGCCTGACCTAAGTCGAGTCTTAAACTCTAGTCTTTTCTATAGTTTTACCCAATCATTCGTTTTTCTTCAAAAAAGTACTTGATGTCCAACATTGATGTTTTCCACTTGGAACTTTCTAAATAAAATCAATATAAATGACTCTGGGCCAGGCACAGTGCCTCACAACTGTTACTCCAGCACTTTGGAAGGCTGAGGTGGGAAGATCACTTGAGCCCAGGAGTTTGAGACCAGCCTGGGCAACAGAGTGAAACCCCATCTCTACAAAAAATTTAAAAATTAGGCCTGGCGCAGTGGCTCACGCCTGTAACCCCAGAACTTTGGGAGGCTGAGGCAGGCAGATCATGAGGTCAAGAGATCGAAACCATCCTGGCCATCATGGTGAAACCCCGTCTCTACTAAACATACAAAAATTAGCTGGGTGTGGTGGCGCACACCTGTAGTCCCAGCTACTCGGGAGGCTGAGGCAGGAGAATCGCTTCAACCTGAGATCGCGCCACTGCACTCCAGCCTGGTGACAGAACGAAACTCTGTCTCAAAAAAAAAAAAAATTAGCCATGCCTGGGGTGGGCACCTGTAGTCTCAGCTATAGGCTGAGGTGGGCGGATCACTTGAGCCCAGGAGGTCGAGGCTGCAGCGAGCTATGATCATGCCACTGCACTCCAGTCTGGGTGCCATGAGACTCTGTCTCAAAAGAAAAAAGACTCCAAGGCTCAAGGTCACCCCAGACTTCAGATTTGGGTCTCTTGCTAACAGTAGAAGTTCCCAAGTAATTTGGAAGACACAGTGAGTAGGTTTGTAGTGAGAAAGTACAAGCCACAAGTATAATATTCAGCCATGGGAGGAGGGCACGTTTTCCTCTTAATATTTACTTCTCTCTCAAGACTTCACATCTGAAGTGGTTGTGGCTCTCACCTGGGAAGGAAAAAGGGCACCCACAGAGTAGCTGGCCCCTCCTCTTTCTTTTGTCATAGCCACCATCCTCCCTGTGGAGAGCTTCACGTGGAAAAAGCTGGATTCTGACCTGGGTGTGGAAAGTACTGTGGGTCTTCTGCCCTCCTAAAGTTTACTGCTCTGAGATCTCATCAGGTTTAGATAAACTCTCTCTGTGAATAGCTGGAGGAGAAAGGCTCACACCTGGCAGGGACTTGAGAAATGAGCCTTAGAACTTGCTGCTTCTGAACTCAACGACACTTTCTGGTTACAGCCAGGCTTCCCACTCTGCAGGCCGCTCGAAGGAACCTGGCACCTGGTCAGCCCTTAATGAATATTTATTCAAATTTATTCATTTGATTTGATTTGAACTGAGGGTTGAGTTCTGAATTTGGATCGCAACTCATTCATCAATTTACTGTGTCCCTGCTAACATCCTCAAACTAGGATGTAGACCTCTGATCTGGCTGAGGCCCAAGAGGATCTCCCTTTCTGATCAAGCTCACCATTTCCTGGGCTGCCACAAAGAACGTTGTTCCTAGACCCTCTTCTCATGGCGGAATGGATGAGGACCATAGTGCAGGCCTCTGTTCTTTCATTGTAAATTTACTTGTGACCTCAGAACACAAGGCCAGCTCTCTGTCTCTCTGCATAGACTTGAATGCCAACCCAATGTGTGCGCCTGGGAAAACAAAGGTGGACATGCTCCTGAAGGGCCTGCCCTCTGCCCAGCTGACAGCCATGCTCAGAATCCACTGTTTCCTGTAAATCTGATGTGTGTTTTGGCTTTTGCTCTGTGTGCTAATCTCTTGTTGCTTTGTCAATGATGATTTACCTGTCTCCATAATTGTTTTCTTCCACCTTCCTTTTGAAAGCGGAGATTGGGGATTATGACTCAGGGAAACACCCTGAAGGCTACAGCTCCAAGTTCCAGTTTTTCCCTAAACATTCAGAGAAGCTGGAAAGGAAAATTGCCGAGATTCACAAGACAGAACTCAGGTACGTGGCACTTAGTCCCAGAACACTGTGGCTTCTCCACAGCCTGAGCGCACAGGCTCCACGACGTGTCCTCTGCTCTCGCAGACTGTTTACTGACACAGAGTGATGCTCCCCAGCCTTCCTGACCCCAGGATGTACCATTGTCAGTGATACACTGACAGCACAAGTCACAGCCACAAGCCCTGTGGGCTCCCACTCCAAGAAGAGCGATATAGGCTGAATCTTTAAAGATAAGGGAGAATTGTGTTATAGGGGAAACAGAGGGATTGGCCTTTGAAAGGCATTTACCTCACTAAGATATTTAATGAAGATACAGAGGAAAGCATGAACTGGGGAAAAGGAAAAGATAAACACAAAGGAAACTGCATAAGAGAAAAAAGATGAAAGAAAAAGGCCAGGTGCTTTATCATGTATCCTCATGGCTGTAATCTCAGCACTTTGAGAGGTTGAGGCAGGTGGATCACCTGAGGCCGGGAGTTCAAGACCAGCCTGGCCAACATGGTGAAAACCCATCTCTACTAAAAATACAAAAATTAGTTGGGCATGATGGCAGGTGCCTGTAATCCCAGCTACTCCGGAGGCTGAGGCGGGAGAATAGCTTGAACCCGGGAGGCAGAGGTTGCAGTGAGCAGAGGTTGCGCCACTGCACTCCAGCCTGGGTGACAGAGTGAGACTCCATCTCAAAAAAAAAAAAGAAAGGAAAAGGAGAGGTTGAGTGAGGATGTGAAAAAGGGCAGGCCTCTGCTCTCAGTCTGTGACAGTGTGACAGGTGGCTTCTCAGCAGAGGATGGAGTGCGCAGGACTGATTCATAAATGCTGAGGGTGCCTTGGGAGCGCTCTGGTTCAGGACTATGTCCTCAGGCCCGCCTAACTCAGGCCCCCCACCACACAAGGGACCCTCTGGAGTCCCTGACTTTACACAGAGGGAAGTGGAGGAGACGTGGCTTCAAGTGTGGCGCCTCATCTTTCTCAGCGTCTCTCACCTTGCCCAGCATATGCTGAATACCATAAAACAGCATTAATGCAGCCTTTCACACACATGAAGTAGGATTTTCTACAAAGCCTGATTTTTAAAAGCAAGTCTGGGCTCCACTTGATGTATAACACAGATTCCCCAAACTGACAAACTGAGGGGAAAAAAGGGATATAGAATGCAGCGTTGGCCAAGCACAGTGGCTCACACCTGTAATGCCAGCACTTTGGGAGGTGGAGGAGGGCAGATCACCTGAGGCCAGAAGTTCAAGAGACCAGCCTGGGCAACATGGCAGAAACCCTGTCTCTACTAAAAATGAAAGTAAATAAATAAAGCCAGATGTGGTGGCACACGCTTGTAATACCAGCTACTCAGGAGGCTAAGGCATGAGAATCGCTTGAACCGGGAGGCGGAGGTTGCAGTGAGCTGGAATCGTGCCACTGCATGCCAGCTTGGGCCACAGAGCGAGACCCTGTCTCAAAAAAATAAAAATAAAAAGTTATGTTGTCATTATAATACATTACAGCTTTAAAAAAATATTTTAAAAGGTTTGTGTATCTACTGTTCTGAGGAAAGACTATGCCTGGCAACAGGGAGCAGAGCCGGACATTTCTAATGCTAATACTAAGCTTCAACTTGTTCCTTCCCTAACCACAGGCCCCCAGAAACCCTTCACTCAATGATTTTACCAACAAATATAACCCAAAGCCTCCTTCGCCTTTGTAAACAGACCCCTCTGCCCACGCTCTGTGACAGGAGGGGTTCCTGACCCTCCCAGCGGAATGGCAACACCAAACAAATGGAATCTTGCATGCTTCCCGCCCCTCTCCCTGGGTGTGCCTTCCCGGGTGCAGGACCCCGCGGCTCCTCGACTCACTCTGTTAGGGAATAGCGACCCCTTGTGGTAAAAATCAGAATAAACACGGGCTTGTGGTGTTGGGGGCCGTGTCCTCAAGGTTCCTTCAAAGAGTTCAGGGATGTGCTGGAACTGCCTGGAGGGCTTTAGGAGACATCAGAATAGTAGGGACAGCCTTCCAGAAAGCTGTTCAAAGCAGGGGATCCCCCAGGAAATGATGCCCACTTTGAGGACCCTGAAGGTTTGGGCCAACTCCAGGGGTAAATGGAGCCCCCAGGGCCCACTCCCCTGCAAACAAGGATGCTCCCTGGAAAGGGAAGCGGTGCTCTAGCCAACCCTTTGCTTGCCACACAAATATGTTCCAAACTTACCTTCCCTGTGCCTCAGGTACGCTAGTGGATGCAGAAGTCTTTATTCATAGTAATACCCCCTTCCACAGGTACTTCTTCCACAGGTCCTGCCTCGTCTTCATAATGTAAAAATACATCCATGCTTCCTTTATGCAATGTGATAGGGGCTCTTGAGGGCACAAACTGTATACTGTGTTTCTTCGTATATTTTCCAGCAAGTAGCACGAGACTGGCGCATAAAGATGCTGCCTGACTGATGCCCCTCCAGAGGGACGCTAGGGGAATCCGGCCTGCTTCTCCTTGGGGCCAGCTTATCTTCCTGCCTGGCCGTATCACCTGAGGCAACTGATAAGCTTAGAAATGAGCAACGTGCAGTCCTGCCCACCAGCCATCAGAGATGTTGACTTCACAAGCTGCCCGCCCCTCCTCACCAGAGCCAACCCTGTATCTATAGAAGTACATCTGCTTTGCAGGGCTCTGGACCCAGGCAAGAGCCTGATGGTGATCCTGCCACTGGGTCTGCAATGAGCCCATCAACACCTGCTAAAGAGGCAGTGGGAAGGGGTGATGCCAAAGGCCCCTTCAGATGGTCTGGAGCCGGAGCTGATCTCTGCCTTTTTCAGTGTCTTTCCTTTTCATGGTCATCACCCTATGGACAGACAGCTATTGTGGAGCATGGGACCTCAGTACTGTCTCCTTCTGCCTCTCCTCACCCTACTTTCCTGTGTTTCCTTTTGGCAAAGGAAGAGGGCTGGGTGGCACCAGCCAGCTTTATGAGCCCCTTCTTTATATTTCAGTCTAGATCAGATCATATATGAGAAGCCTATGACCTGCCTCCAGCCTACAGATGTATTTTGTTTTACCCCATAGTGTTTTAAATTGTGAAATACCACATAAAAATCAGTATTTTTTTTTTTTTTTTTGAGACAGGGTCTCATTCTGTCACTCAGGGTGGAGTGCAGGGCTGTGACCATAGCTCACTGCAACCTTGCACTCCTGGGCTCAAGCGATCCTCCCACCTCCCACCTCAGCCTCCCAAGTAGTGGGCCCTGCATTCTCAGTAATGGGAATCTCAGAGCTAAGGTGCTGCTGGCACAGTCCCCACCACTCCCCATTGTTCACACTCAGCCCAAGTAATTCATTATGTAGCCTGCCTCACTCTGAAAATGTTTGAAGACAGTCAGAGACTCTAGCAGGAGTCTCTGAAGTTGGTCCTAGAACCAAGCAGGGAGCACACCCTAGAAACATTGAGATGTGTGGCTCACCCTGAGCACGTCTTCATAGAGAGTTACCTCAGGGGAACCTGTGGGAACAAGACACCTTGAAACCATCTCATCTTCTTTATTCCAGTGGTCAGACACCAGCAACATCAGAGCTGAACTTCTTAAGAAAAGCACAGACATTGGAAACATATGGAGTGGATCCTCACCCATGTAAGGTAAGACCCCCTGGTTGAAGACTCCGTGACCTTTCCTCCTCTAGAAGGTGTCAGGAGCAAGGGCCCCCATGCCTGGGCTCAGAGGCCCCCTTCAACGTTTACATGGCTGGCACTTTCAGTGAGATGTCAGAGAAAATGCCTCCTTTGAAAACTCCTCTGGATCCCATGCTGCATAATTTTGTGGTGCCACATCAATGTCAGAGGAACCGAGGCAAAGTCAATCTAAATAACAAATCCAAAGCTAGTGAGTAATTTGGTGGAAATGAAGAGAGAAGGGATGTGGAAGGCCCCCCACAGGGAACGATCAGAGGCGGCTCAGGACTGCCCACCCTTTCCTGACCTGTAATCTAGTTTCTTTCCAAGAGTGGGTTTTATTGACTGCAGTGGCATAAGTCACTGCACAGAACTGCAGTGGAGTCACATTTAATTCCATTATGCGCCTGTGAGGGATAGACGGGAACCAACCAGGGAGGCTGCCCAGAGGAAACCTCTGTAATTACTCACACACATCTGGCATTTTGGAGATGAGCGGGGGCAGCCAGTGGCTGCCAAGGCCTGTGCAGACCCATGGCCCCTTCCCGTCTCTCTCTGCGGCTGTGGCCCTTCATGTCACCTCCTGTCCCTGTTGCGTTGACACTGCTGGTCTCTACCTCAGTTTCTCCACATTTCTGCCTCTCTCTTTCCATTACTGGAGTGTGTCCAGTATCACCAGTAAAACCAGCTGTCAAGCTGATCTGAAGGAAACAGTATCAGTCAGGAATAGGAAGACATCAACGTTTTCTTCCTAACTGGAGAGGGGATACTAAATTTCAAGCAAAAATTAAAAGAATAGTCTATTAGTTTCCTAGGGCTGCTGTAACAAGTATCACAGACTGGGTGGCTTAAAGAACAGAAGTTTCTTGTCTCACAGTTCTGGAGGCTGCAGGTCTGAGATAAGGTGTCGGCAGGGTGGGTTCCTCCTGTGGGCTTTGAGAGAAGAATCCTTTCCAGGCCCCTCTCCTTGGCCTGTGGATGGCTGTCATCGGCCTGTGTCTTCACGCTGTCTTCCCTCTGTACATGTCTCTGTCCAGATTTCTCCAAAGACACCAGTCATATTGGATTAGGGCCCACGCTGATGACCTCAGTTTAACTTAATTACCTCTATAAAGATCCTGTCTCCAAAGAAGGTCACATTCTGAGGTACTGGGGGTTACGATGTCAACATATGAATTTTTGAGGGCACAGTGTATAGCCCATAACAAACAGGAATGCTGAGCGTGGTGGCTCACGCCTATAATCCCAGCACTTCGGGAAGCCAAGGTGGGTGGATCACGAGGTCAGGAGTTCAAGACCAGCCTGGACAACATGGTGAAACCCTGTCTCTACTAAAAATATAAAAATTAGCCGGGCATGGTGGCACATGAGTGTAATCCCAGCTACTCAGGAGGCTGAGGCAGGAGAATCGCATGAACTCGGGAAGTAGAGGTTGCAGTGAGCTGGGATTGTACCGTTGCACTCCAGCCTAGGTGACAGAGCGAGAGTCTGTATCAAAAAAAACAAAACAGGAATGAACAGGCACAGTGACACAGGGACAGAGCAGTGTCCTTTGGTCCCTTGGTGAGAAGATGGTGATTTAGTCTTGCCTAGGAGTTATGAACCTTGAGAACATCCTGACATTCAGAAACCCTGGTCATCTTCCCTACCCCACAGTTCCCTATCCACTAGCACAGCCTGCTGCAAAGTAACCCCTGTGTTCTTGGGGCCACACTGTCAGAAAACACATTCATGCCTGTTATACCAGAGAATCGACATTTGGATATTTACACATTAGCAAAACTTCCTAAACAATGCCCTCTGTGTAACAGATGCAGTTTAAACCCCTCCATAAATTGTTCCAAAACTGTTTGCGGGACACCCACACAGGAGTGAAGAGAGCTTTGGATAAGCTGGCCCTGGGCTCCAGTTCCCATCCGTGTTGACTGGGGCCTTTGGGAGCTTCTCTGAGCCTCACTTGAAAGTACACAGTATGTGTTCAATAACTGTGCTCCCTGAACTGCTGAGTCACTCCAGGACCTTAAAGACAGCTGCCTGAAGATACGGTCATCAGAAGGGGCCAGGTTACCTCTGCATTTCACTCCAAACCTGCCCAGTCCCCTTGAGGCCACACATAGCATCCACCTCTTCAGAGATGGGTCCCTGAGCAGGATTGAAAAGACACAGAGATGGGCAGACAGCGAGCCCGAGCACTACACTGACTAAAGGGGGGAAAGGGATTCTCCACCGTTGCCCATGGGAGTCTGGAAGCTATAGTGGCAGCCAGCCTGGTTTCCAACCCAAATACACAGGCACCCCAGGACTGTGAGACTCCTGTCTCAGCCTTGTCTTGGGTGAGTTCATCCATCATTGGATGCAGAGAGGCTGAAGAGGCTGCAGGGAGGAACCAGCATTCGTACCAGGCACTGTTGCGGCCCAGTTACTTATGTCGTGCCCTCTCAATCCCACAGCAGCAGCTCCTGGAAAGAAAGAGGGAGGGAGGGAAGAAGAGATGCTTGTAGCATGCCTCCCATGGCAGCCTCAGTGGAGTCTTTTCACATTATTTTCTCATTTAATCCTCACACCAGCTCTGGGAGGTAGATGTTATTCTCCTTGTTTTGTAGATAAGAAGACTGGCATTCCAGGAGGCCAAAGTTCACAAGCCCTGAGTGGTAGAGCAAGAATTTGAACTCAAGTCACTACCCATTGTTATGTACCCTACGGAAGAACAGAAACCCCCAGGAGACTTCTGCTGGGGGAAGGTGGGAGTGCTCAGGTCTCTTGTTCCTGAGCCCTGTGCCTGTTCCTCACCCAGGGCCATGCCGGGGCCCTGTTGCAGACCCCACACAAAGCCCCTCAACTCCTCTCATTAGGCTGTGACCATGACTCCTCAGCTCTCCCAGCAAAGAGAACGGTTCAGGGGCCTTTACTCTTGTTATTAAGTAGAGTCGCTTGAGTGATATGCTATCAAGTGTTCGCCTTAATGCTGCTACAAGAAGAGCTGAAATAACCTGGCACACTTGGTGTAATAAATACTGATGATTTCTATTAACAGAGAGGCAATTACTGGGCCCAGGGAATCTGGGGCATGCAGCCCCAGGGAGGACAGAAGAAGAGGAATCATTTTGATAATTAAATGAGAGCAGAATAACGCTCTAGCTTAGGCTCTGTCCCCTGGACTGATTAAGAAGCTGCTGTTCTTCCTATGCACACTGATGGTTTCTTTCTGCCCAGAATGTCCTTGTCTGGCCCTGGGACCAGGAAGAGGAGATTCTACAAATGCTGAATGGGACAGCCAGAGAGCCCTATTAGCTAACACCCAAATTCCAAAAGTGCAGGACAAGGCCGTCCTGCATTCTCTGCCCTGATCCTCAGCCCCCAACTCCTGGCAAGAGCCCCAGCAGCCCAAGCCTACAGCTGCTGGAGGAAGAGAATGAAGCAAACCACTGGCAATCCATTGCTACATCTGTTCCCTGGCCCTGACAGCACTCCAACTTCAGGAGCCACCATCTTGCTCCATCCAGGTAGCCCTGAGACTGCTGGTTTGGCCTGGGTCTCCTGCAGCACTGTACTTTGGCCTCCTGGGCCCAACTTATGGAGATGTCCTGTTAAGGCTCATGGAGTAGTTAGGCCTGTTACAGATACCCAGCTTTGTTGTTAAGAGTCTTGAAGGTACCATTTATTGAGAGTCTGTCTGTGCCAGGCTCGTACATTATCTCATTGAATCTTTACAACATCACTGCCAAGAAGATATTCTTGTCCTTATTTGAGGATAAGAATACTGAGCCTCTGAAGATGCAGATGAGAAGTGGTATGAGGGAGATAAGTCCCCTCTAAGGGGCCAACTAACATGTCCAAAGGTACTGGGTAATACAGTACTGAGACTGGAACCCAGGGTTATCTGAGTCTCAATGCTGGGCTTTTTCAATTACTATTCATGGTCTTCCTTCTGGAGAGATGGAATTTAGGAACTAAGCACAACTCATTGCCAATTCTGACACAGAAAGGACACTGATCTACAAGAATATTGATATCATCTGTCTTAGTCCATTTTCACTCTGCTATAAAGAACTACCTCAGACTGAGTAATTCATAAAGAAAAGAGGTTTAATTGACTCATAGCTCCGCATGGCTGGGGAGGCCTCAGGAAACTTACAGTCATAGCGGAAGGGGAAGCAAGGCATGTCTTGCATGGCAGCAGGAAAGAGAGGACGCCAGGGAAAGGCCACACTTTTAAACCATCAGATCTTGTGAGAACTCCCTCACTATCACGAGAACAGCATGGGGAAACTGCCCCCATGGTCCAGTCACCTCCCACCAGGCCCCTCTCCTGTCACGTGGGGATTAAAATTCCACATCAGATTTGGGAGGGACACAGAGCCAAACCATATCATCATCCTATAAAAATTTAATGTAAGTTCACCAGTGTCTTTATGTCTGCTTTGTATAGACCAGGATAAAATTGATTTCAACAGGATCTAGGTTAGATCAACCACAAAAATAAAATTACACTGTCCCTCTGCCCTTAAAGTGGAATCATTACTTTCATAATCCAGCCACCGAGCCAGCTGTCTAAAGAAGAACCCCTTCCCCCATCTTGACGAGTTTCTCCTCACTTTTTTTTTTCTTTTGTGTCACTCTTGTTGCCCAGGCTGGAGTGCAATGGCCCGATCTCGGCTCACTGCAACCTCTGCCTCCCAGGTTCAAGTGATTCTCCTGCCTCAGCCTCCCAAGTAACGGAGATTACAGGTGCGTGCTACCACGCCCAGCTAATTTTGTATTTTTAGTAGAAATGGGATTTTACCATGTTGGCCAGGCTTGTCTCAAACTCCAGATCTCAGGTGATCTGCCCGCCTCGGCCTCCCAAAGTGCTGGGATTACAGGCATGAGCCACCATGCCCGGCACCCCTCACTTCTGAGAAACAGAACAAGAAGGATCAATGATGGCTCTCCCACCCTTGGGTGGGCCCCTCTTGGCTGTGCGGCAG